CGGAGCTGGAAGTTTGATCTCAAACCATGTCTGGCGCATGGGCTCCGGTGTTGTACTACAGGTTATGTTGCAATATTTGTTCACCCTTGTTTTCGTTTCGGGTGGGCGTCCAAGATTGAGGCGAGGACAACAGTAGAAACCCATGCCAAGAATCACCTTGCTTGCCTCCAGGGTGCAGCCCAGGGACGACGCGCGCGCCGAGGAATCTTGAAGTACGGGCGGCCCGGATTAGTAGGTCGACCCTGCCAGATCAAAGGTACCCTCGTGTCCTGTGTCCTGCAACCCATGCCTCCTGCATTTCTGTGGCCACGTGGCCCTCGGAAGGCTCTTGTGTCCTCTCGCGTGTCCTCTCCAATCAAGTCCGACTGTATGTGCTCCGTGGCGAGCGCTCTCTGGTCGCACCGCTCGGGAGGCGATGTGCTACAAGATGGGTATACCAGATGTTCGGGTCGAGCGCACACCTCCGAGGCGCGCACACAGTACCAGCGTGGCGGAGCTCCTGCTGTGCGCAGGGGTGCGTGGGTGACTCACGGCCGGGGCCACGACAGCTCCCAGGGATGCCACGGCCGATCTTCCTCTTTCGGCACGCTCCTTGGCCCCCCCCCCACACGTCCGCGCTCATGCCTCGAACCATGATGCGCCAGCGTGAGGTCTCTGTTCAAGAATAGTAACACATGATCTGGTGACGATCTGTCGTGCCCTTTTGAAGATGTTTGAGTATTTGTTCGACTATTTGCATTTTCCTTCCAGAGTCCGCCTGTCGGAGGACCTGCCCGACCCAACGCTACCACCCCCCCCTCTCCCTATATGCCCCTCTCTTCGGCCCACCCGGTGGCCAGCGTGCGGGACACGAGAGCAGTCGCCACGGTTGGACTCGTCATTCAGTTTTCCCCGTCGCAGCGCACCATGTTGGGCGAGGTCTTGAGGTAGATTTGTGAGGGCTGCCAACAAAAAAAAGGGGTGCCGTCCTAGGGTTGGACGACCTTTCGCCAATCCACGTGAGGGGATGACGCCGGAGAATGCAAGGCAGATGCAAGCAAAGCTAGGTACATTCATGGATATCATGGCTCCCGGTAAATCCAGAGATCTCCAGGGAAAGCGGGAGCAGTGTGTGGCCGCTCCAGCGCGAGTCCAGGGGCGGCAGAAGGTGTTTCCCCCTTAACAATGCTGGTGCAGGGGCCCTGAAGGTGTTTCGCCCGTGTCGGGGTCCCAGGGCCCTCCCGGGGCCGCGGGACTGTCAAGAAACGGCCCGGGATGAAAAACACCTCGTCGGGAGAGCCCCAGGGGTCGGGAGTCCGTTGCCTCGGTCTTGCAGGACCCTTGGATTCGCGGCGGGTCCCGTACCCGTACAGAAATCCCCCCCCCCGTCGCCAAGTCGGACGGCAGTGGCATCCGTGCCAGCGCGTGCACGAGACGAGGAGGCAGTTCGAGGGTTGCGCCCCGCGCAGGCCGGCAGGCGTGGCACTCCGCTGCATGTGTTGCACATCTCCTCAGAGGCCAGCAACATGTGTACACGTACGCGGTTAGCTTCCCCCGGAGGGCATTTGAACGAGGACGTTCGTGCACTCAAGATCGCGGAGGGCGTACATGTACATATGTCGTTGCTCGCTCATCTCCTCCTTGACGTCCAGAGGATGAGCAGGAGAGCAGGAGCATGCAGAGGACCAGGGGATGACCCGGGAGAAACGCGCACGGCACAGGGCGCTCGTCGGAGGGAGCACGTCTGGTGCCGTGCTGTGTGCCTCGCGCGCTCCCTCCTCGACTTTCCAGAGGATAAGCAGGAACATGCACAGGAGGAGGAGGAGGAGGAGGAGGAGGAGGAGGATAAGCAGGATAAGCAGGAACATGCACAGGAGGAGGAGGATAAGCAGGAACATGCACAGGAGGAGGATAAGCAGGATCATGCACAGGAGGAGGAGGAGGAGGAGGAGGGCCCAGGAGAGGAGCCCGCGGGAGAGAGGAGGAGCACGCCAGAAGGCTTGGCGAGGAATGGGTCCTTCGATCCCCCAGAGCTCCACGGGAGAGCCCCCGGGGGGTTCCCCCCAGGGGATCGGGGTGGGGGCCCGTCGCAGCAGCAGTGTAGTCACTTGAGTCCAGCCCAGTGGCTGAGACGGCGCATATCTGGAGAAGCGCCCACAAAGATCGTCAATTCGGCCACAAGACTACGTTCGATAAGGCGCAAGCAATCGTCCATTCAGCTCCAACACTTCGTTCGTCAAGACGAGAGTGGGGGGCCGTCGCAGCAGCAGTGCAGTCACAGGGGCCCACGTGGTGGCAGCTGCTACACAGCAGCAGTGCAGTCACAGCAGCGGTGGAGATGCCACACAATGCGGCGGTCCCGGTGGCATTTTTCCGGCAGCGGGAGCCACTGCGGCAGTTATTTTAGCAGGTGTTCGTGTAGTAGTTGCAGCAGTGGCATTCGTGGCAACGGAAGCCGTAGGAGCAGTACGCAGTTTCAGTTTCATTTCACCCAGCGTGAAGTTACAGAACGGCAGCCTTGTAGCTGCCGAGAGTCTAAGGATTCGGGGAAGTGGTGGCGGCAGTAGGAGCATGATTGGTAGCAGTGCTGGCATCATGCGGTAGAAGCAGCAGTAGCAACACGTAGCTGCAGCAGCAGCAGTATCTATATGACAGTGGTAGCAGTGCTAAACGTCGAATCGTTGTCACCTCTAGCAGTAGAAGGCGACACATGGGCAGAAAAGAGAGAGGATGAGGAGAAGGAGTTGGAGGAGTGTGAGCAGCAGCGGTAGCAGCAGCAGCAGCAGCAGCAGCAGACCTCCCCCCGCAGGAGAGACACCAAGGGCTACGAGTGGGTAGTGGAAGTTGCCCCTGGCTTCTGGGGTGCGAGGGACATCCAGGAGTGCTGGGGGTCAGGGTGGGGAGCGGGCGGGCTCGTCCGATGAAGATGATGCTGGCTGTACCTCGTCGTCCTTTCTGTCCACGCCGAGCCACTGCACTTCGCAGTTTCGCGCTTCCATGAGCGCCTGGGCCTTCCCGCAGAGATCTGAGCACCAGGTAGATCGGCAGGCCGAAGGACGATTGCTGTTGTGGGCCCTGGCGTGCTGTGCCTCCTCGGCCACCTCATCCTCATAGAGGCTCGGGAGGCCATTTGGAGGCGTCGGACTCCAACCCCAGATCCCAGAGTGTCCCGGAACGGGTGGCATGATTACCCGCCAGAAGCCAGCAAGAGAGAGACCCAGGTATAGATAGAGAGTTCCATGTGTACATATATACCTATACGACCACCCTTCGGGTGATAAGGAGGTTGTGGGGGGGAGGAGGGGGGGGAACCAACAACTCAATCGATCTCACTATCGATCTCACTCAACGGGACACCACGGGACACCTGTCGATCTCATTGTCGATCTCACTCAACGGGACACCACGGGACACCGCGGGACACCTCTCGATCTCACTATCGGTCTCACTATCGATCTCACGATCGATCTCACTCAGCGGAATACCATAGGACACCACGGGACACCTCGGGACACCACATCGATCGGACTATCGATCTCACTATCGATATGACTGTCGATCTCACTCAACGGGACACCACAGGAAGCCACGGGACACCTGTCGATCTCACTATCGATCTCACTTTTGGGGACACGGGACACCGCGGGACACCTGTCGATCTCATTATCGATCTCATTATCGATCTCATTGTTTGGAACACCACGGGACAACTCGGGGCACCACATCGATCTCAGTATCGATCTTTCTATCGATCTCACTATCGATCTCACTCATCGGGACACCACGGGATATCTGTCGATCTCACGATCGATCTCACCACGGGACAGCACTGGACACCTCGGGGCACCACATCGATCTCACTATCGATCTCACTCAACGGGACACGACGGGACACTACGGGACACCGCGGGACACCGCGAGCCACCGCCGGACGGACGGACGGGCGGGCGGAGGAGAATCAGTTGTCTTGACTTCGCCCTAGTTACGGCGGACACCACGGGACACCGCGAGCCACTGCTGGACGGGCGGGCGGGCGGGGGAGAATCATTTGTTTTGACCTCGCCCTGGCAACGGCGGACACCACGGGACACCACGGGACACCGCGAGCCACTGCCGGACGGGCGGGCGGGCGGGGCAGAATCGAGCGGGGCGCCCTATCAACGGCGGGTTCATTGCTGTCGCGCGCCCACGCAGCTTCGCCTCGCCCGCACGCACGACACGAACGAAACGAAACGATTTCCCGATTAGGGGTCTCCGTTCCATTGCGATCTCACCCCCCAACCTCCGATAGATACATGTATACATATATATATATATACACCTATACGACCACCCTTCGGGTGATAAGGAGGTTGTGGGGGGGAGAGGGTGGAACCAACATCCGACTCCATCGATCTCACTATCGATCTCACTCAACGGGACACAACGGACGATCGATCTCATTGTCGATCTCACTCAACGGGACACCACGGGACACCGCGGGACACTTCTCGATCTCACTATCGGTCTCACTATCGATCTCACTATCGATCTCACTCAGCGGGACACCATAGGACACCACGGGACATCTCGGGACACCACATCGATCTCACTATCGATCTCACTCAACGGGACACCACGGGACACCGCGGGACACCTGTCGATATCATTGTCGATCTCACTTTTGGGGACACCCCGGGGAACCACATCGATCTCAGTATCGATCTCACTATCGATATCACTCAACCGGACACCACGGGACACCTGTCGATCTTATCATCGATGTCACTATCGATCTCACTTTTGGGGACACCACGGGACACCTCGGGGCACCACATCGATCTCACTATCGATCTCACCCAACGGGACACCACGGGACACCATGGGACACTTGTCGATCTCACTATCGATCTCACTATCGATCCCACTCAACGGGACACCACGGGCCACCACCGGACACCACGGGACATCGCTAGGGCCACCACCGGACGGACGGACGGAGGAGAAGTATTCAATTCTACTTCGCCCTAGCAACGGCGGGTTCATTCATCTCGCGCGCCCACGCAGGTTCGCCTCGCCCGCACGCACGACACGAACGAAACGAAACGATTTCCCAGCTGGGTGTCTCCGGTCGAAACGAACGAAACACACAGTTTCGAAACGAAACGACACGAACGAAACGAAACGAAACGAAACACTGCGATCTCACCACCCAATCTCCGACAGAGATATGCAAAGAGAGCGATAGAGAGAGAGAGAGAGACGGATTATATACCTATACGACCGCCCTGCGGGCGATAAGGAGGTTGGGGGGGGATTGAGATCAAATGCCCACACTGACTGACCTCCAGCCTGTCACTGTGATCTCATCTTATCTCTGTGTTTCTCTCTCTCTCTCTCTCGCCCTCTCTCTCTCTCTCTCTCGCCCCCTCTCTCGGGTTGGATAAGATAAGCTGGATTGGATAAGAAAGCCCGCCGCAGGCGCCGAGAACAATGCATTATGAAATTAGCGACATGCATTAGCGCCGGGACGCCCAGGACTCCCAGGACACCGCCCGGCCCAACTGGGACACTTCCCCGCCACCGGCGGACGGGAAACGGACTTTCGCTCCTACTGACACCCGGGACACCCAGGACACCGCCCGGCCCAATTGGGACACCTCCCGGCCACCGGCGGACGGGAAACGGATTTTGGCTCCTACTTCGGCCTAGCTACAGGAGGATCACGCGAGGCTTCGCCTCGCCCGCACGCACGACTCGAACACGAAACCGAAACCGATATCCCGATGGGGGGTCTCCGTTTCACTGCGATCTCACTCCCCAACCTCCGATAGTAGAGATGCAGAGAGAGAGGACAGCGCTAACGATGACCTTTCCCCAAAGTGCCAATGTGGAGTGTCACTGCAAGCTCATCGAGTCGTGCGACAGTTTCGACAAAGTGCGACTCTTTCCCAGGGGTGTTTCGACAAAGTTTCGCCCACGGCTCGCAACGGTCGGTGGGAGCAGGCGTCGTTGTGAATTGCGGCTGTGCGCCATGCCTGAGCAGCCGCGCGGGGCGCAAGTCCAGCTTAACACGTGCTTCGACCTTGGAGACTCGGTTACTCGGCCACGCCTGCCCACCTCAGCGTGCGCGGTGCAGGCCGCCCCGCTGCTTGACAGGAGGCACCAGGCAGCGACACGGTGTCCGACCGCGCGGGCCGGTCGAAAGGTTGCGCGCTCGTTGTGCAATCGGTTCCTGCTCCTCCTCGTGCTCCCGAGCGCCCTCGGGCCCGCGTGCCACGTGGCCTGCGCAGCGCGGGCCGTGCACGGCAGTCCCCGTGCTCGAAAGGTGTGCCCTGCCGGTCGAGAGGTCATGCGTCTTTTTGCGGGCGCGCTCGGGCCCGCGGCCCGCGTTGCTTGAGCAGTGTCGATGCCGCGCACGAGCACGGACGTGCAGGTGTAAACACATGCCTGGTGCGCGAGCGATAGGAAAGGCATCATAGGCAGTTCGTTTATGTCATCACCTCTGCAGTAGTTTGGCACGGCGCGCTCAAGCTTCGAGGCTGTCCTGCAGCGCCGTGAAAAATCCTTAGTCGAGAACCAGATTCGTGTCTCGCATGTGGTGCGCAGGTGTGCAAGTATCTCTGGTGCGCGGCGCGAAGACAATCGCGCTTAACGCATCGCGGCTCGGGTCGGTGGGTCGGAGTCCGAGATGCACCCTTTTCCATGGTGGCCTCGCGCAGCGCTGGACGCGATACACGCAGATAGGTGCCCTCGGAGAAGATGAGGCGGAGAGGGGATGACTGAAGCAGGGGGGAAGAAAAAGAGGGCGAACGGAGGAGGAGGAGGAGGAGGAGGAGGAGGAGGAGGAGGAGGAGGGGGAGGAGGAGGAGGAGAAGGAGTGGCCAAGGAGGAGCTAGACTGGCGTACCTCGATCAGCAGGAGGAGGAGGAGGAGGAGGAGCTAGGCACGCAACAAGCTCGCGCTTCATGCATGGCCAACGTCATCAAGGAGGGGCTAGGCTGGCGCATATCGGTTTGCAGGAGGAGGAGAAGGAGGAAGAGGAGGAGGAGGAGGAGGAGGAGGAGGAGGAGGAGGAGGAGGAGGAGGAGGAGGAGGAGGAGGAGGAGGAGGAGGAGGAGGAGAGGGAGGAGGGGGAGGAACAGAGCAGGGAGGAGCAGAGGCGGAGGCGCAGCCGCCGCAGCGAGGACGCCAGGCGGAGGCTTTGCCGTCGCCCTGGGCCACGCGGGGGCTGGCGCGCAGGTGCTGGGGCTCTGTGTGGCCTGGGCCGCTCGGCCGACGACGACGACGACGACGACGACGACGACGACGACGACGACGACGACGACGACGACGACGACGACGACGACGACGACGACGACGACGACGGCGGCGGCGGCGGCGGCGGCGGCGGCGGCGGCGACGGCGACGGCGACGGCGACGCCGACGGCGACGGCGACGGCGGCGGTGTCGGCGACGGCGACGGCGAATGACGGCGGCGGCGGCGGCGGCGGCGCGAGACCCGCAGGACCTGTCCAAGGTGGGCTACGAGGCCGAGACGCTTTTCCCGCCGTATGCGGGCGCCCTTCGGCAGCACTCCGCCGGCGAGACTCCCTGGTCAGACGGGGCCACCTCTCAGAGGAGGGCGCCCTCTCGGAGGCGGGCGCCGGAGGCTTCCAGGCCCCTCACGGAGGGGGGCAGGAGCGGGCCTTCTCGGAAGGCTCGGATGGCTTCCAGCCGCCTGGGGAGCTGCCCGGGCCTTCTCCGAAGCCCCGCCGCTTGCTCTGAGGAGGCTTCTGCCCCCTCTTGTCTTCCCCCTCGGCGCCGCCGCCAGGCTCCTGCCAGAGGGAGGCAGGAGGAGAAGGAGGAGAGGGCATTCCTCCCACCTCCTCCTCTCCCAGTTCCTCCTGCCGGTTGGGCGGCTCACGTCCCCTCACCGCCCCCGGCATTGTCTTGCCTCCTGCCTGCTGCTGGCCGCTCCAGCTGCAGGCGGTCCGCGGTGCGTCCTGAGTCGACGAGCAGAGAGAGGCAGCATCTTCAGGTGAGCACAAGCAGCATCGATGTCGCCGCCGTGTGGCACCCATCAGCGTGTCACGCTCGAGGAACACCAGGCTTGCGGACAAAAACGACGTAGCAGCTCGTTGGCGGGCGGCCGACGGCAGCGTTGGATGTGTCTCTTCCTTCCCGAGTGCAGGGGCCCGCAGGAGCTCGAGGGCGCCTCCGCGCGTGTGCGCCTCGGAGGGCGGCCGAGGTCGCCGTCCAACCCACCCCATCCCATGACTTCGTGCACCCCCCCGCGTGCGCCTCGCTCGTCGACCTCACTCCCGCCCACCCCCGACCCGCTTCCTGTATCTTATGGAAGAAGAGAAGTCCCAGGAAGGCTTGCCCAAGGGGGTTGTTTGGGGGGGTGTCCAGATCCCCGCGGGGGTCGTCCGAGGAGTTGTCCAGTGTAGGTCGTCCCGGTGTCATTACTCAGCACGGGTTGTCCAGGGAGTTGTCCGGGGATCGGTTGTGATGAATGCCATTCCACTGCACATTGTAAGCCCAACCCCCCACCCCCTCAATCGGCGGCGAGCCTGGGGGGGTAAACGAGAAGGGGCGGGCCTTCTCCCAAGGCTCGGACGCCCCCCGGCCTTACTTGCAAAGTTTTCTGCGCAAGTTTCCGGAGCCTTCCCCGAAGACCGAGAACTTGACAGAGAAGCGCGAGGGCTTCTGCGAAGTCCCGCCGCCTCCCGAGAAGGCCTTCTCCTTCTCACTTCCCCCCCTCGCTCGCCGCCGACTTCGTGAAGCCGCTTGCTGCTCCGTGCCCCTCGGTCGGTTCAGAGGACGGCCGGTGGAGACGACGAGAGTTGGCCTGAGGACGGTGGGGGGGGCTTCGTCGCCGCGGCCTGACGCAGCTCGGGAACTTATCCGGGAAATTGGCGCTGCCGTGGACGCGGGGAGGGGCCCGGGGACCGATGCCGAGCTGCCGTTGTATCCATTCGCCTCGCTCCGATCGGTGCGCCCTGCCCCTCCAGGCCCCCCTCGCTGCAGGCTGCCGCTGGGCGGGTCGACAGCGACCGACCGCGGGCGCTCGCCGAGCGGATCCGGCCGAGAAGGCAGCATCCGGGGAAGATTTTGCGGCGAGCTGGATGCTCTGCCTCAAGGTGTCGGCCTCCTCCGTGTGCCCGTGGCAGTCGTCATCCTGCGGCTGCGGCCCACGAGCACTCCGACCCTGGGAGAGCCAGGGGAGCCCTTGGAGTGAGTATTGTGTATTGTGGGCTACGGCCCCCCTGCTCCTTTGGGTTCTTCGTGAGCTGCTCGATGTCCTTGAGGTTCCCACGGGTCGAAGGGAGCTCGATGTTCCTTGGGTCTCTTCGTGGGTCTTCCCCGGGCGCTCCTCGGACGTCTTGGGCGCAAGCTAGACGCAAGCCTGGGCCTCAGTCCTTCTACACACTTCTTGTGGTAGAATTTCAGTCGCATGCCCTCTCAACCCCTGGTTATTCTGTCATGTTTTCTCGGGCTCCTTGTACGATGCTGCCATCGGACGAGTATCGTGTCCTCTGGGATGCCATTCGTCTTCCGTGGCGTTCCTACCCCTCATTTCATCTATCTGCTGCTCACACTCCTCATCCTGGCCTTGCTCACCCTCATTATGCTGTTTTCCTTCTCTTCGTGCTCCGCAGCCCCCTATTTCTCATCCTCCTCCTCTCTGATTGGTCCACAGCTTCTCCCACCCAGCAACCCTCCCTCCTTCCCCCCTCCCTCACCTGAGGACAGAGGAGGAGAATGGCGCCCTCGCCCTCCTACTCCACAGGTCTCCAGGGCCCTCCAGGAGTTCTAAGGAAGTCCCCAAGACGCCTCCGAAAGCCTGCGGAAGCATGATAAAGACCAGACGATCCGCTGCGACACTCGATCCTCCCCCTCTGCCTCGGCTGACTGTTTCCTCTTTCTTCTCAAGTTGGGTCTTGGGAAACAATCTTCCAGCGGCAGCTTGTTGTGAAACGTCCTCCTCGGTCTTTCCCTTTGTCCTCCTCGACCTGTTTCTCCTCCTCTTCTTACGCCTACTCCTATTCATACTCCTACTCCTACTCGCCAGCAGCATCATCAACATCATCCGCATCCGCATCAGCAGTTGCATCATCAACGTCACAGTACCGTCATCATCAGCATCATCATCATCATCATCACCATCATCACCATCATCATCAGCAGCATCATCATCAGCAGCATCATCAGCAGGAGCATCGCCAGCATCATCATCACCAGATTCATCTGAAGACTCATCTGCATACTCATCTTAAGCAGCAGCAGCAGCAGCATCAGCAACATCATCCTCATCCTCATCATCATCATCATCATCATCATCATCATCATCATCATCATCATCATCATCGGCAGCAGCAGCATCATCAGCTTGATCAGCATCATCATCAGCAGCATCAGCAGCATCATCATCATCAGTCTCATGTTCATCAGCAGCAGCATCATTCATCACCACCACCACAATAATCAACAGCATCAGCATCAGCATCAGCATCAGCATCATCATCATCAGCATCATCAGCATCATCATCATCATCATCATCATCATCATCATCATCATCATCATCATCATCACCTGTTGGCCTTCGGCCTGCCCCCCACCGTGCCTGGGTGGAGGGTCAGAGGCCTCATGCATGTGGGTTGGTATATCATGTTTGGCCTCTCGGGGAGCTCTGGGAGGCTGTTTTGAGACCTCCAGAGGCCTCTTGGGGGCAGTTTTGGGCCGTCCGGAGGCCTCTTCGGGGACTCGTGGGGGCCTCTTGGGGCTTCTCGGGGGCCTCTTGGGGGCCCCTTGAGGCATCTTGGGGCCCTCTTAGGGCCCGCTTGGGGCTCTCGTGTGGCGTTTGGGGAGCTTTTTGGTGGGCCCTTGGGGCCTCTTGAGGGCCTCTTGAGGGCTGGAAGGCTCGAATTGTCGGTTCTGGATTTTTTTCTTGGGTCGGGCTGCCTTGGGGCGGTCTTGGGGGCCTCTTGGGCCGTCTTGGAGAATCGAGAAGCCGAAAAGGCGAGAAGGTCAAATTTCTTCAAACACCGATGGAAAATCGACGATTGTGGCTTCTCGGGCCCCTCCTGGGAGACCTGTTGGAGGCCTCTTTGGGCGTCTGGGCGGCCTCCTGGGCTGTCTGGGCGCCATCTTCGGCGTCTTGGAGCGATCATTGGGCGCCTTTGAGCGCTCTTGCGCCGTCCTGGGCCCGAAAAAGTCAAGCGGGAAACCGCGCCAAGGCCAGCAAGAGTTGGCAAATTGATTTCTTGATCCTTTGAGGACTCCTAAGGAGTGAGGACTGAGGCTCCGGGAATTGGGCAAAGAACCTGAGGACACGCCCGTTTCGTGCCCAAAGGCACGGCGGCGGATTGTCATCATCATCATCATCATCATCATCATCATCATCATCATCAGCAGCAGCAGCAGCAGCAGCAGCAGCAGCCTCAGCATCAATTATATCAGCATCATCCTCATCAGCATCAGCATCATCAGCAGCAGCATCAACATGAACATCATCAACGTCATCTACATCACCATCATCAGCAGCAGCAACAGCAGCAGCAACATCATCAGCGCCATCAGCTGCGGTATCATCACCTTCATCTGCATCTCCATCTTCATCTTCATCTTCATTAGCAGCAGCATCATCAACATCATCATCAACATCTCCAGCACTATTATCATTGCCATGACCATCACCATCGTTAGCATTATCATCAGCGTCATCAGCATCACCAGCATCATAATCGGCATCAGCGTCACAATCATCAGCATCATCGTTATCGTGATCGGTATCGTTATCGTTGTCGTTGGTGGCATCCTGCTCACCACCGTCATCATGATCCTCATCAACATCAGCAGCAGCATCATCATAAGCAGCACCATCTCGCACCTCGATTCTCGATGTCCTCTCTGCTTTGCTATCTGTGTCTTGCCCTCGGAGCCCCGCGGGGGCCGGCGGACTCCGCGTTCCGGGTCCTGAGCGTCGGCGACGACTCGTGCCACCTGGAGGCCGTGAACAGGTCGCAGGAGCGTTCGGAGGGGCCCCCACGCCTTGTTGTCGTGAAATCAAGACAGGAAGCCTTTGGCGACGTTCGGCATCTGGGAGCTCTTACCAGGTCCCTTGGCATCGTTGGGACGTGTGCATTTTGTCGGCGTGGACCATCGGGAAGCACTTTGGGCCATCTCGCGAGAAAATGCGCGCACGACACCGAAAAATAGGGGAAGGGGCGTCCGAGCGATGGCGAGGCCCCGCGACCGTCAAAAAAACAGTGCGGGATGGAAAGCTGGCCCCGGTCAAGGGGGCCAGACCTTTGGACCACGACTTCGGGGTGCTGGGGGGTTCGAGTCGTCGACGCCAACGACGCCGACGCCGACGCTGGAGGCCTGCGAGCAGCCACGGCTGCCGCAGCTGCGGCCTCTGCCGAGGGCCACGGCAGGGGTCGGCTCCATGCCGACACATCGGCGGGGATCGAGGTCCGAGCGTCGTCGACTCTCGGACCACGATTTCTCGTCGTCGAGCTCTCGATTCCTCGTCAAGCCTGCGATTCCTCGTCGGGCCTCCTCGGACCCTCGGACCACGATTTCCATGTTTTTTTATATGTCTCATTTCACGACCCTCGGACCACGGTTTGCGATTTCCATGGTTTCTTTGTTCCCCATGGTGTCACGACCCTCGGACCACGGTTTCCACGATTCCGTCGACCCTCGGATCACGATTTCCGCGCGTTCGTGGGACCCGATCCCTCGTCGAGCCTCCGATTCCTCGTCGACCCCCAGGGCCACGACACTCGGGCCCACGGCCCTCGGGCCCCCCTCGGGGCCCGAGGGCTCCTGGTCATGGTGGCCCCCAAGATTTCCAGGGCTCCTCCGCGCGGCCAGAGATGGCCGGCGAATGGCAGTGCTCCTGGTCTTCGTCGCGCGCGCAGGGGCGGACGGGTAACGAGGATTATGTTCCTGGTTGTTCGGGCGGCCAGAGATGGACGGCCAATGGCCCTCTGCCTTGGCATCGCTCGGACGTGTGCATTTTTTCTCGGCGAGAAACGTCGAGGAACATCCTGGACCATCGAGCAACAAAAACACGCACGAAACCGACAAATGCACGGGAAATGAACGTCCGAGCAATGGCAAAGGGGGGGACGAAATCTGCTATATGCAGCTGGTTTCGGCCCCGCTTGGCCCAGTCCTCGATACATCGGCGCCTCCTGGCGCCGGGAGGCGCCGGGAAAGTCAGCTACGTGAGCTGATTCTCAAAGCCCCCCTTTGCTGTCCACCCCTTTCGCCCGAACTCCTGACAGCGGTCTCTGTTCCAGGTGCCGCGCGGCCAGTGGCGCACGGCCAAGTGCGAATGGCCCAGGGCCGCTGGAAGCTCGGGGCTCTCCGGGAGCGCAGGCGGGGCCAACGTGCGAGTCCCGACTTCGTTCTCGTCCTGGCTCGGAGGCTCTGCCATTCTTCGCCCCTTGGGGGCGGGAGGCTCCAGGGGGGCCTTCTGGTTGCCACGGCCGGGTTCGTCTGAAACATCCATTGGCATCGCTCGGACGTGTGCGTCTTTTCTCGGCGAGAACCATCCTGGACCGTCGAGCAAAGAAACACGCACCAAACCGAACAATGGACGGGAAATGGACGTCCCAGCAACGGCAAGATTTGTGTCAAAGCGCGCACGGGGACGGATTCGGGACCCCCCTCCCTTTGAAGCAGCGGCGAGGCGCCCGGCGTGCCTATAGGCCCACCAAAGGATAGATGGTCGAATAACCTCTGTGGCTTGCACGAGACGTTCTCAGGACATGTCTGACTTACAGGCCGACTCGGTTTGAAGCAGTTGATTTATGTGATATGAGCATTGTGTTTGATGTTATTCAGGCTTCGCGTATCCCATGCAGCACGTTCAGAAACGCTGGTCATGAGAGCTGATGGGATATGAACGAAGAGACACACATAATTAGTGAAACAAGGCGGGTAACCAGGAGTGAGAGAGATCTCTGGGAGCAAGGGGGTGGCCATGGAGGGCCTCTTCGGGCCATCCCTGGGGCCCGCGGGTGGACCAGGGGAGGAGGAGGAGGAGGAGGAGGAGGAGGAGGAGGAGGAAGAAGAGGACAAGGAGAGGAAAAGGAGGAGGAGGAGGAGGCAAGCCGCCGGTACCTTTCGGAGGACCTAAGGATGATGAGTCCCAGTGTGAACGACCTGACCCCAGCCTGGACCCACGACCGGTAGCGGTGGAAAGGCCAGCTGGAACAACCCCTGTCCATATCCAGTTCCTTGGGACACCGACGGCACAAGCACGCAGACAAGGCAACACCAAGTGGAGGGACACAGGGTGGACGGACACAGGGCTTGCCAATTTCACCGAGTGGACGGACGCAGGGTTCGCCGACATCGATCGGGTCAAGGAGAAGAACGGGCATTTCATCCAGCCTGGGGCCGAGACCAACCTACGAGGGCCACAGTTCCGTGCAACACTCAAGGAATTCAAGAGGTCCCAGTAGCTCGTGGAAGCGCGAGGGCAGTTTGGGCGAGGGAGCGCATAGGTGGCGATAGGCCCCCATAGAACTTCGCGCGCCGTCTGCCTGCGACGCGTGCCAAGTTTGGGCCCCCCCTGCTGCTCAGCAAGGCATGTGGTCTGCGCGCGAGGCCAGACTGCGCAGCGCCACTCTCCCTTCCCCTCCGCCTACTATTTCGCGGTCGGGCAGGGCCTGTCAAAAAGGACGTCATGCAAATGTTGGAGGCGATGGCGTTCCAGATTCAAATAGCGGGAGACCCCGTCACTCTCGTCGCCGAGTGGAGCATGGAGGAATTTCGGGAAGCGGAGATAAAAGAAATTTGTTGGTGCCAGGTGCGTCTTGCCAGAGGGGACCGCCCGCGTCCACGGCATGAGGGTGATCGATATCCGCCTCGCCTTCTCTTTCCGAAGCCTTGACCTCAACATGGAATGCGACTACGATCTACGAGGGTCCTTTGGGGACCAGCCATATCTGGTGCTGAAGGGCCCCTGACTTCAAGATTGAATACGACTACGATGTACGAGGGTCTTTTTTGGGATCAGCCAACTCTGGTGCTAAACGGTACGCTGGCAGATGAGTTCCTGGACCGCCAGGACCAGGTGCTAACTACACCCCCCTTAAGATACCGCTGGGCTTCCAGGGCCTTGCCCTCGCTTGGGGCACCTTCCTGGGCCCGGCCCGCCAGAGGGCTACCCAACGACCGCGTTCAGCATGCCGAGTAGCGGATGTTTGCACAATTCCCGTGCTTTCACATCGCGATGCTACTTCTGCGTCGCAGTTGAAGCTTTTTGCTTCTGCCCGAGGATGGCTGGACCCAAGGACAGGCGCATTGCCGAAGATGCGCGCGAGCTCTTCACGCCACCAGTGTCCAGCCCAAGCAACCCAAGGCGGGAATGGCAGCAGGATCATAAAGCTATCTTTCCAGGATCCAGGACTTGCTGGGGGCGCGCATGGGCAGGACCTCCCCCTGAGAAAACCTCAAGACGGCTCGCATGGAGGGACAAGTTCGGAGGCGCCATGGCACGCAGCCGACCACGAGAGGGCCCAGCAGCCAAGGCGAGACAGCTACCTCAGGCGCCCCGTTGGGTCATCGAGGACTTCCTGAAAGCCAGCAAGAGCGTTCAGGATCGAGTTGGCCGCGGGTTCTAGCATCATAAACAGAGATGCTCCCAGGATAGACTCCAACAGAGCCGTCGATGGGGAAACTACGTGGGCCCATGGGCACGACGCGCGCCCGAAGGCACGCCGGGCCAGGAGGCGCGGTCTCACGGGCAGCCTGCGCGGGACCCGCGCGAGCGCTCGCGACCTCGAGCGCCCCGCGTCTCTCCAGCTGCGCCAGGCGCGCGTCGCTTCTCCGGCGCCGTGGCCACGCGGGCCGACAAGTGGAACACCTTGCTGCGGATAGCCCGAAGCCGCCGAAGCCTTTGCCAAGCTGAACCAGATCCTGAATGACACTGCTGAGTCTAGCTGCGTCTGGCCCACGCAGGCTCTTCCGGCCGAAGTCGGAGCGCATCCCGAACCGCCAGGGGGAGGAGACAGGTCTGTTGCCAGAGCCCAGGGGATCTACAGAGCACGGAGCAGGATCCGGAAGGGAGCAGTCGCCAAGTGGGAGTGAGGGAAGGCGTGGATCTGGGAGGGCGCGGCGAAGGCCGAGACCCACTCGAGGCTGTTCTCCTCGGACGTGCCAGTGCAGGGGCTGCCAGTAGGGTCGACGTTGACTGGGCCGCGCTGCTTCCAGACGCCGACGAGCTGTTCGACGCGCACAGCCCATGCTGGGCCAAGGCGCGAGGCGAGAGCCTTCAGTGCCCCGTGCGCGCGCGCAGCAGAACAGATCGGACCCTCACCATGGGCCCCGAGGCCTCAGGGTCAAACTCCGTCGAACGGCCCACGCTGCAAGCCTGCGCGCAGAGCGCGGGCTGGCCGCGCGCCCGCCAGCGCGACGCGCAAGACAACGCACGCAGCCACCACCGCCCGGCGGAGGTTGTTAGTTCTTGGGCCAGCGGCTTTTCCGCGGCCCACGGGCGCCGCGAAGGCCCGGCCCTCGGGGCCGCGGCCGAGGGCGCCCCGAGCCCCGTCAAGAACACTAGGGGCTGCTGAGATTGCAAACACTGCGTGGGGCAGCTCGCGAGATGTCTTATCCTCGCTAGGATGTTTGGTAAAACTGATGGATCTCCCCGTTTTCCAGGACTGGCGCGGGCTTCTCCCTTGGTCCCCTCGCTCCTGCCCTTGCCTCTTGCCGTCCTCTCTCCCCTTCTTTACCACCGCCATTCGGCGGCTCAAGCCTTTTGAGGCCAAGCTGGGGGTCGGCCTCAGTTGGCCTAAGGCCGGGCGCGAGAGGGCCAGAAGACTTCCAGGTCATGGGTCCAGGCCTGGCCGGGGCGCCCGCGGCCGCATGATGCCGCGCCTGGCGCCGCGCGGCTGGGGGGCGGCAGCGGCGCCGCCCGCGGGCGCGCAGCTGCGCAGCGGCGGGGGGCCTGGGCGCCGATCGGCGCCAGCTCACGCCAGCCTCGGGGGCACCAGGGGGCGAGGCGCCC